GCCAGTCGTACCTAGCCATGGGTCAGTCCAAAAACGAACCGTGGCGCCATTTCCCAAACTCCAGCGAGCTTGTTTAATAATATGTGGCCATACCTTGTACAGAGCTCTCGTTAAGGTCGATCCTCGTTTGCAGCGGGAGGAGTCCAGGCCCTGCGATGGTGAAAAGCTATATTAAGCTGTTACAACTCTCGACCATAAGGAGTCGCTATCCGTCAATAGACCCCATCCTATTTTCATCAGAAGGGCGTAGTTCATGCGTCGCAAATCTTTGATGCCCAAACCTCCCTCGTCCTTAGGTTGACACACTTCTTTCCAGGCGACCAAAGGAATCTTACGTGTCTCGTTTGAACCTTCCCAAACGAACGCCCGACTACGACGCTCCAACCCTTCCGTAAGCGCCACCGGCAATAACACGGATTGCATGGAAAAATAAGGTAGCGAGTTTAGCACTGACTGTGTTAGGGTTACCCGTCCGGCAAGCGAGAGTGTACGCATGCACCACCCGGCTAGGTGCGCCTCCACCTTATCCATAATATGTGAATAGGTGGAGGGATTAACCCGGCAGTGTATAACAGGAACACCCAAGTATCTACCCAAATTATCTGTCCACTTGAAGTTAAGGAAGTCTGCCAGACGATGTTGGACGTCAAGATGCACATTATTAGAGAAGAAGACTTGAGTCTTTGCTTCGCTGACTTTGAGTCCCGAGATACTGCAGAAGAAATCGAGAGTTTGCTTAAGGATTCATGTCTGTTCCTCGGAAGCCTCCACAAAGAGAAGAAGGTCGTCAGCGAACATTAAGAAAGGTACCAAGACGGCTCCCCGCCCAACTGATATCGGCTTCCAAGATTTGGTCTCTACCGTATTATTAATGATCTGAGCTAGTCTTTCCATGCATAACACGAAAAGATATGGGGAAATAGGATCTTCTTATCGAACCCCTCGCGTAGGTTGAAATTCCTCCACGATTTTTCCATTCCACAATAGTGACATCAACGCCGATCGCACACAAGCCATGATAGTTGTGACCAGAATATCAGGATAACCGGCTAGTAGAAGGGTTTCTTCAATGAAATCCCTTTTCAGATAATCATAAGCTTTTTCAAGGTCGACTTTGATAACTATATGGCCCGTCACCCCATTGTTTCGTCTCATAGAATGGATTAGTTCTTGAGCAACAACAATGTTGTCAATAATATTTCGGCTCGGGATGAAGCTAACTTGGGCTGGGTGAATAAGACTGGGGAGGGTCTCTTTCATACGATTGACCAAAATTTTAGTGAAGAGCTTGTAGATTACGTTGAGCAGGCTAATAGGCCGGAAGTTCCTGATGGTGGTTGCATTCTCGATCTTGGGAATCAACATAAGAAGTGTTCTGTTAACCTTCGTAGGTACTTGGCCTTGCCGCCACATACGTTGGATGAACTCACGCACTGATGCCCCACAACATCCCAATTTTGTTTAAAAAAAGAGAGCGTTCAAGCCATCTACACCCGGCGCTTACAGTGCAGAAAGGACCTCATTATCCGAGATATCCTCCTTCATAGCCTGGACACTATCCTTCGCGCATTGATGGAAGAAATTTGGCGAGGGCCCGACGAACCCAGGAGTTGATCCTTTCATGTAAATGGTTCGGAAGAAGTCAGTGGCCAGAGCCCGGAGAGCCACTGGGTCGGATATAATATTCCCATCGTCAGCCGCTAGTTCCATAATTCTTCCCTTTCGCCGTCGGGCTTTGAGCTGCTAGTGATAATAGGAAGTATTCCGGTCACCAAGGTGCAAGCAGTCCCTTGTAGATTTTTGAATTAAGAGCAACTCCTCTTGCATGATGACGTCATCCAATTCCGTTCGCAGCTGGGTTTCTAGGTTCATTAGCTTCTTCGTGAAATAAAATTGGCGGCAACATTGTATTCCTCCTATTCGGGCTAGGAGCTTTTTCTTCCGCTGGAAGATATTTACAAATACATTAAAATTCCATGTTTTCGCGACTGACGCGAAATTCGTGGCTGCGTCGAGAAAGCAAGTGGAGGGGGTCCATGATTCTTGAAGCATACCGGAGAACCCTGGATGAAGAAGCCACGCCGCAAGAAATCGAAAGGGTTTAGGTCCTTGCAGTAGAAGTCTACACGACTAAATGCCAGCATAAGGGGTGAGTGGTCAGACCGTATGCGTGGGAGAAGCCGGACCCGGCTTGTTTCGTACTTGTCCAGCCAGGCCATATTGGCAACAAAATGATTCAGCTTCTCGGTAACTCGTCCATTTTGCCCCTCTCGGACCCACGTGAAAAGGTGGCCATCCGTGGCCACTTCTTGTATATTATTCGTAAACATCCACTCCCCAAACTCCTTACTAACGTTGTAGTGGTTAGAGGACCCCTCCCCCTTTTTTTCCGAGTGATAGAGAAGGCAATTAAAATCGCCTCCGAGGAGCCAAGGTTCCGAGATACCGGTAGCGAGTCTCTCAAGCGTGGCCCACAACCTTCTCCGTCCTACCGAGCTAGGACTTGCATAGATAAAGGATACCAGAGAAACCTCTTCTTGTTTACGTGCCCGTACATGAATCAATTGCCTAGAGGAGCCTAGGACTTCAACCTCCACCTCATCTGTCCAAAGGAGCCAAATGCCCCCCCGAAAAACCTCGGGCCTCAACCCGAAATGAGTTTTTGAATTTATTGTATCTCACAAAGCTATACGCATTGGCCCCACTAATCCGGGGCTCAAATAAGGCGACTACATCTGGTTTGGACTGGCGAATAAGAGTAGAGAAAGCTCCCCGAAACTCGGCTGAGCCCGCTCCCTGTACGTTCCAAGTTAGAATATTCATGGAAAATGACACAAAAGTAATATGATCGGAAAGGCATTTCAGACGAGGCCTGAGGCCTGCGAGGTCTCTTCCATGTTCACGGGATGATTTGTCTCACCCTCAATATCCATCAATCGCCGACGTGGGTGTCGTTCCTCCGGCCATGGTTCCTCTAGGTTGATATCGTGTTCTTCTTCCGACATGGCCGCATCGTCGGCTACGTCCATGGCGGCGGGCTGATTTGAGCCTGTATTAGGTGGAAATGTATCTTGTTCATCCTCAACGATAATAGCTCGGTGTTTGGATGGGTCGAGACATGCACCAACGGAGATATGGCCTACATGGGACGGATTATGGGCAATGTTTGAAGTTCCTGCACTTGCTGCTTTCACTGCATTTGGTTCTTTCGGTCCAATAAGGCGAATTTGGGTTGCGGTCATGGTTTTTTCGATATGGGCTTTCGGCCCAATAGGCGCCATATGTCCACTGGCATTGTCTCCACTGTTACGAATGGCCTGGGCCGTAGCCTTCTGTTTATTCTTGAGTAGACGCCAATTTTTCTCACCCGATATTCTAGTGGATTCTTTCTGTGGCGCAACCTTATCCTTATTAACTACCAACGAAAGGCTTCCAAATTCAAATCGGGTTGAAGATTCCTGAAGATCCTTCTTTTCCAAAATTCCATATCGAGATCCTGAATTTGTGGTCGGATGCGTATTTTTAGTGATCAGTCCTCTTTTCATCCCCTTATCACGCCGCGTGTATGGTTGGCGCGTTTTCTATGGGACCTGCATCCAAGGCCCATAGCCCGTCTTGGGCCCGCTGTCCTGCAACTCCGCCTTGTCCTTGGAGATATCATTGGTCGTTTGGCCTTCGCTATTGCTAGTAACTCGGCGGGTATCCGGGTTGGCACTGTGATCCATAGGTTGCGGTTGGTGAGGACACGCCTGGCTCGAATGACCCATACAGCCACATTGGAAGCATATGTTTGGTAAATTTTCGTATACTATCTTCTGTTGTCGCCCATTGATGATGAAGTGTGTGCGCAGTGGTTTCGTGACATCGACCAATACCGCAAGTCTCGCGAACTTGCCCTGGATGCGGGCTGCTGTTTGCTAATCGATTTTAATAACCTTTCCCACGATCCTACCAATGGTTTGAAATATCTGTTTGTGATAAAGGTGGGATGACAACCCGGGTAACCGGATCCATGCAACTGTTGTCGTAATCTCTGCCTCATTGGCGTCGAATTGCAGATTCCAAGGTTGGACATGTAAGTATCCTCCCTCAATCATGTACGGCCCGCCCGTCAAAACACGCTCCGCATCATCACGGTTTCCAAAATGGATAAGATAATAACCATTCTCCAGATCCATCATGTTGAATCCCGCCATGAACGGCCACATCTTGGTCAGGCGGTTGTACAGGGACGCCATTGTAATTGAGTCGTCGAAGGGTTTAATTACTACCACATGCTGCCATTCCTTACAGATCTTGTCAAAGAAGCGTTGGGCGATAGTAATTTCTAGGATCGGACTGGAGAAGTAGATCGAGACGTCTATATCACCCTCCGCATCAGCTTCATCGTCATCGGCGCTCACATCCACATGGACTTGTGTCGATTTACCATGTCCCTAAAGGTCCACCGCATCGGGGGGCCCCCGTAGGAGCCTGTTCTTCATCGTGTTTAGGCGAGTCCGGTGGGTGCTGGTGGTCCAGAAAGTCACCTAGCCTCTTACGGGTTCTCAGTCGTTTGGATACATGCTGGAGAGCCGTCGCTATCGGAGGGAACTCTGTATCGGATTCTCCTGACGGCAGTGGCGGCGGATGTTGGGCCCCTGGGTCGAAATTTGTCATTCTCTGGAATCATAACTTATAATTATTTAAACATTTGTGTTGTGCATGTGCACATGATAACGCCCATCACCTTAATCTCAAATATTCGCATTTTGAATTAATAAAATAAATCGGGAAAAAAATAATTAACTATAAAAATATATATATATTAACCCACATCTTTTTCATGTCTTCTAAAAGAACCCCGCCGCTGATGGCTTTCTTCCCCTGAACCTGAGAACTTGCTCCTTTGCTTTTTTGTCAGAACCTTTTGAATTCAATTTTTCAGATTCGTTTTACAGTCCTTCGCCATAGCTCAAAACAGCGAACAAGAAAAGTGCATAGACTATAGTTATTTTGCGATGGCGAATTACCAGCTGAATGTGGATGGGTGCCCATCGTGGGGCTCAAGAAGCGTCGATTGCTTTGAGAAACTCGAACAAATTGGGGAAGGAACCTACGGGTAAGAATTCGGATTCTTTAGGTATACCGTAGTTTTATTTAATTCATTTTTTTTAATTATTTTGGACGCCCCTTTAGTGGGCTTGATTTTTGCGGTGCTCAAACTTTATATTGTTCCTTGATACTTATAATTAGCTTTTATGATGAGCTTGATGTAAAATTGTACCTGGGCATTTGAGTTTTCTTGATGGGCGGTTTGAATCTGTGGAAAGTTCAATTTTTTTTTTTTTTTTGGTTTTAA